GGTTTGAAAAGGGGTGAATTTAAAGTGAAAATGGTATGTATGTATACCAGTCGCCTCGCCGGCTGACGCCGGCGCGGCTCCTTCTGATACGGCCCGGCTGCGCCGGGCGGGCGTCCCCTTTTGTTCTGTACTCCACTTTTTCCGGTGTCTGAAGTACTCTTGAGCTATTTTACAGATTCTTCGTCTGACTCCGCCCACCTCGGAGCAGGCCCCGCCCACAATGTTTGTGCCCCACAATCCTCACCGGCGACCCTCTGCTGACCTTAATCCACTTTTTTCCGTCTTCGGAGTGCTCTGGGAGAGTTTTGGAGAATTTTTGTCTGGCTCCGCCCAACTCGGGCTGGCCCCGCCCACAACATGTATACCCCACATTTCTTAATCGGCGACCCCTTGCTGATTCCGGTCTTCGGAGTGCTCTGGAACCGTTTTACAGACCCTTTTCGTCTGGCTCCGCCCACCTCGGAGCAGGCTCCGCCCACAATTTTTTGCCCCACAATCTTCACCGACGACCCTCTGCTGAACCTTAATCCACTTTTTTCCGGTGTCTGGAGTGTTCTGGAACCGTTTTACAGACCTTTTTGTCTGGCTCCGCCCACCTCGGAGCAGGCTCCGCCCACAATTTTTTTGCCCCACAATCTTAACCGACGACCCTCTGCTGAACTTAATCCACTTTTTTCCGGTGTCTGGAGTGTTCTGGAACCGTTTTACAGACCTTTTTGTCTGGCTCCGCCCACCTCGGAGCAGGCTCCGCCCACAATTTTTTGCCCCACAATCTTAACCGACGACCCTCTGCTGAACTTAATCCACTTTTTTCCGGTGTCTGGAGTGTTCTGGAACCGTTTTACAGACCTTTTGTCTGGCTCCGCCCACCTCGGAGCAGGCTCCGCCCACAATTTTTTGCCCCACAATCTTCACCGACGACCCTCTGCTGACCTTAATCCACTTTTTTCCGGTGTCTGGAGTGTTCTGGAACCGTTTTACAGACCTTTTTGTCTGGCTCCGCCCACCTCGGAGCAGGCTCTCCGCCCACAATTTTTTGCCCCACAATCTTAACCGACGACCCTCTGCTGAACTTAATCCACTTTTTTCCGGTGTCTGGAGTGTTCTGGAACCGTTTTGTCTGGCTCCGCCCACAATTTTTTTGTCTCGAGCGGTGTCATTTTCGAAACGTGTGACCCTGAGCTGTGGTGGAGTAGGCAAACATTGCTCGGTTGTGGGACCAAATGGTGGGGATTTTCATCCTCCCTTTGCAGTTGATTACAATAGACTCGCTCCTTACCACTGCATTGAGAGGAGCTCCCTGCAGTGAATCGCAACACAAACACAGTCTCACCGCCCTACGGGATTGACAGGATGCGCGACCGGTTCTGCCTTTTCTGGGGGAACTGGCCACTGGCCTTAAAGACACATGGTACGCTCAAACACATTGAGGGTGTATGAGACTATCAGCCCCCCAGCTGTCGATGTGTCGTGGTCCCCCCGCCCAAAACTGCACGGGGTCAGAGTACGGGGCCGTGGGAAAGTCGTAATTCCTTGCTACACCGCCCATTTCGCAAACTCACGTTTATGCTAACACCGTCCGCGCGGCGCGTGCAGCTCTCTTGGCTTTTTGCCAAGTCCTGTAATTGCGCTTTGGAATACAAGTACAACGCAATTTCTTTATGCGGATAACATTTTAGGTGCTGCAAAATAAGAACCGAAGATGATGACGAGGGCTAGAACTCAAGAGCAACTGTGCTGTTCCTGCAACATCCCTCAGAGGCCGCGCATTCCCACAGAACATGACAATAAAAACGGACAACATGACAATAAAACATGACAATACAAGCAAAACGCAATTTCCTAACATTTGAGGTATTGCTCATGCTTCAAAGTCCGAATAGAAGGTGATGAAGATGACAAAGGCTAGAAATGAACAACAACGAATGTAGATGTAAATAAAACAAAATTGAAAAAAACTAAGGAAACGCAATAAATTAAAATCGCGTGTGCATTTCTGCGATCCGGCTCGAATCCGGCTCCAAAGCCATAGAAATACTTCAAACTAACGAGTGGGACGCTTAGGCCGTTTTTATTTTCATGTTTTGTGGGAATGCGCGGCCTCCGAGGGATATTGCAGAAGCAGCACAGTTGCTCTTGAGTTCTAGCCCTCGTCATCATCTTCGGTTCTTATTTTGCAGCACCTAAAATGTTATCCGCATAAAGAAATTGCGTTGTACTTGTATTCCAAAGCGCAATTACAGGACTTGGCAAAAAGCCAAGAGAGCTGCACGCGACCGCGCCGCGCGGACGGTGTTAGCATAAACGTGAGTTTGCGAAATGGGCGGTGTAGCAAGGAATTACGACTTTCCCACGGCCCCGTACTCTGACCCCGTGCAGTTTTGGGCGGGGGACCACGACACATCGACAGCTGGGGGGCTGATAGTCTCATACACCCTCAATGTGTTTGAGCGTACCATGTGTCTTTAAGGAAGTGGATCATCTGGAGACACCTACTCCATATCCAGTTACAACGCTGTTCAACCAGTTTCACGACGGAAGCGGGAAAGAAGTTGTAGACAGTACCCACATGCGCTCCCCCATGAGTATCGGTACTCATGAGGAAACTTTTGACCAAACATCAGTAATTTTTGAGGGAGTGAGGACCGCTGTCATATGTGCTTTTGGAACAGCCAAGTGTAAGGACTAGATACTAGTCAATTCAAACCAATCGGTTTTAATCAAGGAACGCAGTAGGTCCAGATTAAAGGTAGATGGCCTCCCTATACTAGGTTCGTCTCCCAGGTAGAAGCCATTTGAGCGAAAAGCAATCAGGCCATTTTGACACCGTACTTTCGAAGGTGGCATCACGACCTTGCTTGCTAGAGGAGGGTCGCCAGGTCGAAATGGCCATTCGTCATGAGACCTAGATCGCTGGACGTGTTTTTGGACGCTGATCTCAAATCTGCCTTCAAAATTCGCAGAACGATTCTCTGAACGGAGTTATGGAGGTTTGTTCGAATTAAGGGGCCAATCAATTTACATGAGTAACATGATGCGCGTAGCTGCAAGAGGTGTCATGGTGTAGTGGCAAGGGTCTTGCTTGACAAGCGTGAGATCAAGTATGGGTTTCGAGGGGAACAAGTTGTTGCAACAAGTTTTTGTGAGGAATGTTTCTTTCAAGCCTAGGAAACCTTTCAAGCGTTCACAGCGTTATGATGACATTTCACGAATATAGTCTGTGACCTAGGTAATCCTACAGGATTGGGCGCCTCGTCACACAAAAAGCTTTTGCGTAAAGATGCATGTACCGCAGGTTACAAGCGTTTGCGCGCTAACGGGTGTCATATTGGTGTTCATGAAGCAAAACTATCTTGGGGACAGATTTCTAGCCAAATGCAAGGTGTTCACCTAGCTTCGAAAAAGTGAGGCAGCAGCTGTGGAATGATGGTCACCAGTGGTTCTAGGGCCGGTCTGTTATCGATTGCTTGTCTTCGGACAGGAATTCGCTTTCATATAGCAATATCAGAAAGAATGCGTCGGAAATAGCAGGCTGAGGCTTTGTACAGGAGAGTTATCTGCAGATTCATAGGTGTGAAGATGAGCTAAGTTGCCTTCCTGGATGCTTCACTTTTCTAAGCCAGGATGAAATACCAGATTTGGCTAGAAACTTGTGGACTTAGTTTGGCCTGATAAACACGAATATCACAATCGCTTAGCGCGAAAACGCCCGCTTCGTGCTCCACGGGCACCCAAATTTCCAGATCACAAGGCACCCCAGCGCGGCGACAATTACGCGCAAACTTTTTCAGGCCAGTTTAGGTGAGCACTGACGCAGTGAGGACTCGTTTCACTTTTCGCCTAATTTCTTCATGAAGCAAAAAAAAATAAAGCCTGGCAGAGATTCGATCTCATCATCTGCAGCTTGGTAGACGCGGAGGGGAAAGCCCATAACTCCGTCCAGAAAATTGTTCTGCAAATTTTGAAGGCATATTTGAGTCCAACGTCCAAGACATGTCCGGCGAAGCGTCTAAAACATGTCCGGCCGATCTAGGTCTCATTACAAATAGCTACCTGGCGACCTTCCCTGGTCAGAGCGGATGGCTCCAACCACGTTGTGACTTGGTGGAGATTCATATAGCGAAGCTTAGTGTGACGAAAATGATGGATTTTATCTACCGATGTGGATATGGGAACAGCGACTGCGAGGGACGGTAAAACAGCCGTGGACTGGTTACTGAACGCGCTTCCATAGACCACATAAGTGGATTTCAATTTCAATTCAATTTATTACATGTGCAAGCACATGTGTACGACAACAACATAACAAAGTGCGACTCAACCAACCTCAACCAAAGGTTTTAGAACAAAAGGTAAAGGAAAAGAAAACACAATGTGAGTTCAAAATAGCGACGGAGAGATCTGTTACGAGGTACAAAAAATGTCACGAATTTTTTGGAGACCCTAATAGCTGCGTCATGGGTATTAAGGTTACTCAGCGGTGCGCGGCAATCGTTTGATCATATTTCAGTACACTTTCTAATTATGTTCACTCTTAAAATCCCTGTTTTCAATGAATCGCGAAGCGCGGCGAAGGTTGTAAAGTTTGGCTCAGTGGGCGGATGCACGCGGCTGTTTCTTGCGAGGACTATAGATTTCGGCTCACCGACTAACCTCGTTGCAGGATCGGTGCTCTAAGGCGCTAGCCTATATTGCTCCGCCATTCCTCCAAACCTGGAACGGCATATGTTTAATTGCACTATTTATTCAATACGAAGTATCTCGATGTCAGTGTATCTGTGACGACAGTCTCCTTTCCCCCTTCCCTCTTCTCCGCCCCAGTCGCTGAATTTTTGTACTCTTCGTACATCAACAGCTGCTCAGTTTTCAACAGTTGATCGACCTGTGTATTCGTTGAAAAGATTGTTTCATCGAGCTGAACTTGTTGCTGACCTGTAGCGCTTGCCACTACTGCGGCATTTTTACAGCAACATTTTGTGCTGTCGAATCGTTTTGGTAGTATGCCGAAGAAGTTACCAAACGAAGCTGCTCTTGTTCTGCGACGCATGCCCATTGTTGTAATTCCCCGAAAGAGGAAATACAAAAACTATGTGTCACGTCGTCGAAACACACATCTTTTCGCTAGTTTGCGCAAGTGCGTCTCCGATCCGCTCATGTACCGCAGCTTCAATCATTGGAAAAGTTTGTGGCGAGAGTTTTCGCCAAGCGAGGACTTGCCTTTGCCTTCAGCTGATATTCCGCGGCTAATCGATGAGGGAGGTACTCCTCGAACACCTGTTGTTACCACTGTCGTGGTATCCCCAACAGTAGACGCAAAGAGATCACCGTTAGTTGGGCAGGTTTCTGAGAAGATCACTCATGTCAGAAAGAATGAAGTGAGCCAAGTTTCCCTTTGTATCCCACTTCGGTCGGGAAAGGGAATAACTGTACAAAGTGGAAGTTCATCCAGGAAGGTCTCGTCACCTAGAACGTCTTCAACGTGTCCTTTTGCTAACACCAGAACACTAAAGAAACAAGCACTCAATGCGGAGTGCCCCATGGAAGAGTATAGCAATAACAGCTCAGAAGAAAATGATAACAAAGTACGATTGTCCATTGAATTTACCACAGTGAAGGGTCCTACCATTTCAGCTCTTGTGAAGTCAGGAGCTCCTTCTCCGGCAAGTTTTCCAAAAAGTTCTCCAGTAACATTCGGTGAGATAACTACGATGAATACACGCAATAAGGCAAGAGATCCGCCACACTTTGTCATGGCGGAGCCTGCATCTTCGGTGGGGCAGTGGAAGTTTGTTGCAGCTAAACCTTCGGCGCCGAAAGTTCTGAGGAAGGCATATGGCTCCAAGAGTGGAACAGCAATTTGTGCTATTGGCTCATCAGTAACTGCGGCTTCCGCTAATGATGTCAGCACTGAAGATCAGCGTGTTATTGAAAAAAAGGTAACACTTCGAAAGAGGATGGAACAGGTCAAGGAAGCAGCGGCTGTACAGATGCCATTGAAGTGTCAAATGGATATTGGAGAAAAGTCTAATCAAGCAGATGAGCAGAAGGCTAAGAAGACGATGAATGCCATTGCTGCGGCGTTTTCTACACAGTCAGTTTCAGTTGATGTGCCTGAAAATACAAATTTGGAGGAGAAGAAAAAAGTCGTGAGGGACGCTATTTCGAAGGCGCCCCTGAAGGGTATCACCTCGGCCACTGCAAATTTGCTGGCTCAACTTCAACTTCCACCCACAGTTTCTGCTAGGGTTGATAAAATTATTGCATCAGGACAGAACGCAAGACTGCAGAAATTGAATGACCAGGTTTTCAGTTAATACACTTGACTTGTTCAAATTCTTTTTTTCAAAATTCACTACTGCTTCAGAGAGCGCGTATGAAGGCTCATCTCGATCGGCAAATTGCGGGAGTGTTGCCAGACGATGATGACGGCCATCTGGTTTTCAAAAAGAACGACATACTTCACGGGCGATGTTGGTTGTTTTTCTTACTGTGATTCATCTTTTTATTGTAGGTTTGCAATACTTCACAAATGTCATTTTTGTCACTTGTTTTTTTTTCTGTGCGCGTATGGGCTCATACCTGTTTCAAACAATTTCTTTTCATAATTTATAGGGGAGCTTCGTGAAGAGCTTGGGGAAGGTACTTTCGGAAGAGTAATCAAGGCCTACGACAAGCAGGTTTGTTAATAATATGAGCACAATTTATCTGAATGCCTAGTCTATTTTGCGACTGTGTTCAGTTAAATCTCATTTTCTAGAGGGACAAAATGAGAGCCGTGAAGATTGTGCGCAATGTTCACAAATATCGAGATGCAGCTTATTTAGAAATCAAGGTTCTTACTAAACTGAAACAGTTGGACCCGAACGGAACGCAGTAAGTGCAAAAGCATTTCAATTTGTATGCTTCTTATAACATTACGCAACGATACCATTGTTTTCTTTTTATTCCATTCATTGCTGAAAAATGGATGTATCGCATATTTCTCGTGTCGTCCTCATGAACCCTTAATACAGTGCATTCCGCTCACCTTTTCCCTTGCGAACGGTACGGCTTTAGAGAAGTTTTCGGTTTGATTTACTTTTCATTGGTGTGATGGTTTCGCATCGACTAAAACAACAAAAGGAGTTGATTGACACTGATTTTTTTTCACTAATTTTTCCCATTTCCATGTAATATTAGATGTGATCTACGAGAACCTTTCATTTATTTCAAGCTTCGAGCGCAGGTGTAACTCTTTTTGGGAGAGACTGCATATTTGAGGTACTATCAAAAATCGTATTTTTTACCCAGAAGATGGCCGCTGTGGGATTAGTTTAGATGGCGATCGGAAAGAGCTAAGTCAGGGCTACACGAAGACTGTGGTGGAATTCCCCAGCTAAGCTTCAGGATCTCGAGCAGTGTCATTTTCGAAACGTGTGACCCTGAGCTGTGGTGGAGTAGGCAAACATTGCTCGGTTGTGGGACCAAATGGTGGGGATTTTCATCCCCCCTTTGCAGTTGATTACAATAGGTTCGCTGGTTACCATAGCGCTGAGAAGAAGAAATTCCTTCTTGAGGAAGAGAGAAAGAAACCCCACCACATACACAGTCTCACCGCCCTACTGGATTGATAGGATTGCGCGATCGGTTCTGCCCTTTCTGGGGATCTAGCCGCTGGCGCTCCGGGAGTGATTCATCTAGAGGCACCCACTCCATATCCAGTTACAGTGCTGTTCAACCAGTCCGTACAGCGGAAGCGGGAGAGAAGTTGTAGACAGTACCCACATGTGCTCCCCTTGGAGTACTGGTCAACTCATGAGAAAAATTTTGACCGAACTTCAAACTTTTCTAAGGAAGCGAGGCCCTCCATTTGTGCTTTGGGACCAGTCAAGTGTAAGGACTAGATAGCAAGTTGATTTGTACGAATTGGTTTTAATCAAGGAACACAGTAGGTCCAAATCCAAGGCAGGTGGCCTCCTTGGACGAAGTTTTTCACCCGATAGAAGTCACTAAAGCGGAAGCAATTGGGCCATTCCAAAGCCGTACTGTGGAAGCTAACATCAAGATCTAAATAAGGGAAATGCCGCTTATGGCTCCAACCACGTTGTGGCTTGGTAGAGATTCATATAGCGAAGTGTGTCGAAAATGATGAATTTCAATTACCGTTTTTCATATGAGAACAGCGACTGCGAGGGACGGTGAAGAAGCTGTGGAATGCTTACCTAACACACTTCCCATAGACCACATAACTGGATCTCGAAATGGCTGCGGAAAGATCTGATACGAGATTCAAAAAGTGTCCACGAACTTTCGGGACAACCTAATACATTGTCAAGACGCCAACATCGACGCCGAACTGTTCTGATGACTTGACTAAGCATTTTCGCTTGTTCCTGAGCCAATTTACGACTTCTTTCACGCAACCCTTTATTGCGGACCCTATTATTACTCTGCTAATAAGTTATTCAGTGAGAGTGATAACAAAGTACTCCATTAAAGGCAGCGCCCGCGTTCAATTTGATGAGTCATGCGGCTCAGATAGTCATAACAAGGTAGCAGGTAACCTATTAGTGAAGAAAAATCGGGAAGAAGTCATAGGGAAGGCCCTATATAGGACCCCATGCTGAACTGAAGTTGTACGTGCTCAAGGCGAAGAGAAGGAGCGGTTGCACGAGTTCTCACTTGTTGATATCAGCTGTTTTCCCTTATCACCTCACTCTCACCACTCGACGTGGAGAGAAGCAGCAATGGAACAACCGCACCATCAGGCAACCATTAGAAATGAAGTTGGGCGTAGTGGTGGCCCGACTCTTCACGAGCGGGCGCCGCTATTCTCTCGCATTTTTGAGTTGCGAAACTAGTACGTCCACCATCCTCATAGGGTGAGCTACGATATCCAAAGAGAGGGTGGAAACAACAAATGAACGTGGGCGCTGTCTAACAGTTTCAACAAAGTAACCGAGGTCTTTACCTATTTCGGCGGGGGGAGGGGTCCACAGCGAGCAACGACTCATCTGCCCTTCTGCTCCCTCCTCGGCGACATATATCCCGCGTGTTTGGTTTATTCCAGGCAGCATTTCTTCCAGATAATGTAATACCATCATATTTAGGTCATGAACAAAACCCTGTTATAGGTGCTATTTGAAAGGTAAAACAGTTAAGGCTGAAAAATGCGGGAAAAGTCGTAAGACGGAAGGTTTTTGCCTGCGCCTAGGAAAGAAGAAATTCCAGCCTAGGTAAACTCATTCGTTTGTGTAAAAGTGGCACTATCAAATGCATTGGATGCTCCGCAGAATCTAAAGAAAACCGGCACTACTGAACTATTCCTACCCCAAAAACTCAAAAAAATTTTTCACTGGAACTTTAGCTGTACTCCCTAGCACTAACTCGGAACCCGCGACGAATATGACCTTAGTTTTGCCGGTGGCGCCGTTTGGCGTCATTATGCGCCAGTTTTTCGCCACCATCTTTCTCAATAAAATCGATGACTTGTATGGGGGGGGGGTTGTTATTGACATCTCGATCACGAACGTAGCATTCATTTTTGACGCTGGCTCCATTTGGCACCGGATCGGCGCCACACCTCTTCCTCAAACCCCATGAAAACTTGCGTAATAGGGATGTTTGATGCCCTGACTCGAATATTCCAGTTATATTTCTTCACCAGCGCCATTTAGTGCTCTACTAAGGCTGAGCGTGAGAGAAGTGATTCTCTTTAGGCCAGGCTCAGCCTTAGCAGAGCGCTGATGATCACTCTGTCCTCCACTGGCAAATAATGAATGTCACATCTGTAAACAGGATGTCAAATAACCCTGTATATAAGCTCTACTCGATTTTGTTGATCTAGAGTATTTTGGCGTTGCGCCTTGGCGCAGTCGCAAAACGGTGAACTGGGCGGATGCGATATTCTTGTTCCAGGGAGCAAACTACCTCTAGGGACAAGTTTTCAGAGAATTTCGTAAGTTAGGCTATCTTGACGCGGGCCCCACGGAGTTTCGGGCCGAGCGGATGTGATATGTTCAGGAGATCGAACTGCCCCTTAAGACAAATTTTTAGCCAAATCTGCTCTTATACAAAAAAGTCGGTAAAAACTGGCCTGATTTCGGAAGATTGGGTTAAGAATGTTCCAGTAGTGCCAGAAAATCTACTGCAGTAGCTCCTCATCAAGTCGTAGAAATGAAATGAATCTTGAGTGGTTTCCTCGCAATAAAATCAGAAGACAGTTCACCTTACCAATTCACTTCATGTTCCTACTAAAAGTCCATCTCTTTTCCGCTATAAAGGCAATTCCCTACGATCAAGTGTCCCGGCTCACAGGCGCTCTATCATGAAGTAGTAGCTCATGAATAACTCCGAAATAGAGAAAGAAGCGAAAAAAAGTTTGAGAGCACCCTGAACAGAGCTCCCCCCCATCTAGTGGAGCCGGCGCCTGGACGACTTTGATGTCAAACAAGCCCAATCAGCAGGATCCGTAGTGCGGCCAGTTGCCGGCAGGAGCATCGGAAATCGCTCTACGGCGCTGCAACACTATGTACACGCGATTCCGTTTGCTAGCCGTTGTCTTAAAGAGTTACAGTAAGCGGCTTGCAGCGGTTGCAAAACTCACGCGTCTCTAGCTTCGTTATCTCGCCATTTTAAGTGAAGAAAGTGGTGCATGGTATATTTTCTGCAGTGCAGACAACGATGCCAAATGCACAGAAACGCTGATCGTTTGCTGATCTGATCACTTCGCAGACTTGATCGCGAAGCGTCTTTGAATATATCGGAAACCATCTGTGCGCCGTTTCAAACACATTCTCGGTTTGTTTTATTCTAACTGCGTGCTACTTTCGTGCTTCAAGTATGCCGGGAACCATCTATGGGCTGCTTCGAAACTATCTTGGCTAGGAAGGAGCGGAAGAACCGATGATTCATCGTTCACCGCGAGGTCCCTCCTCCCCCCCCCCTCTTCCCAAATAATACGTTCACGACTCAAAAATACTCATAACAAAACCAACTTTAACAGCTAACAGCTAATCATGGGGAAAAAAGAGTGGGGCGAATGAGGTCGATAATGCTCAGAAATGCGAGAATGCGTAATTAAATAAGTAATCACGTGGTATATAAGCCACTATGTGGAGGACAGAACTTTTCGGAAAACCACAGTACTTGGCTCCGTTGCAGGACCAGCGACCGTACTTCTGGCACATTATAGGGCATTTCAAACTGGCCGAATTTTGAGTGCGTCTTCTTCTGGTCGAAGAAGTTGATAAAGATAAAATGTTTTGCCTTTTGTAGGTTTCAGTGCTAAATATATATGCGCCAGCCGATTTTCTACGGAATGAGCTGAAGAAGTATTTGCGGAATCGAAAGTTTGAGCGAAGTTCATTAGCGGGAGAAAATACTAAGTGCTTCCTAAACCGCAAGCAGTTTGACTTTTTGACTGCTCCAGTTAAAGGTAAGGGTCCATCCCTAAAGCAGGGATTCGTATTCGATTTGCTATGTGTTCGGGCAGTTTCCGGTTTGTTGCTTAGTATGACAATCCATATTGGCTCCTGAAAAAAAATTGAAAGGAAATTGGTATACGAAGCATCACCTTTTATATCTGGAAAATCGAAGCAGGAATTGTGAAATATTAGGTCATCCCATTCGAAAGTGCATACATTCAGAGGAATGGCAGAAAAGCAAAGGGGATAGAGCAGCGGGCTACTATACCATTTGGAGGCTAGTACCTTTAGCTGTGTATCTGTGAAATTTGGCGAACCTACCCACAGAAGAAGTTCTCGAGAAATTGAAAAGAAGCCTGAGTGGTGAAAATCAGCGCCGGTTTTTCAATCAGGCGTCATAAGAGGAAAGTGCGCTGCTCAAATTCGACCGGCGCCGGACCAGTAGTTGTGTGTAATGGTGTTCTCGATAATA